GTAGGCCATGGCCATTCATGTGGGTCGCCCGTTGTCCATGAGAAATTCTCAGGTTCAACTCCTTCAAAGCTTGATCCAGCTTTTATCTTCCTGCTTTTAGGGTTATAACGGCGACGCTGAATGCTCTTTGCTGTGGTGTCCGGTGGAGCGTCTGGTGCGGTGTCCGGTGGAGCGTCTGGTGTGGTGTCCGGTGGAGCGTCTGGTGTGGTGTCCGGTGGAGCGTCTGGTGCGGTGTCCATTGGAGCGTCTGCTGGCCTAGGAGTTGTACTGGCGGATTCGACTCCTGGGTAATTCTGAGCTCAGACAAATTTGAAAGTGTGACACAAACTTACGTTTCATAGCTGTAGCCGCACCGTCAATATTTTCTCCTTCTGCCACTTTCAGAACGTCGAGCAAGAACTCTTTCGCTTCTTCATGACTTCCTTTATAACCTGGAATATCAAGCACATCAGAGTCCTTAGCCTGCTGCACTCTTTTGACTAGGCTCTCCAACGTTCCAATTAATTTTCCCGTCTGTGCGGAGGTAAGCTCTTGGCTTCCGTTCTTGGTTGCTTCAGGCAGAGGTCCCTCCTTTTTATTTTGTCCAATATGTTGGATTAGCCCGGCTTCCACTAATTTTGCATACGCAAGGGTAGCTGGCTTAGTAGGCGCCATATTTAATCGTTCAAAATTTTGATATGTATACCAATGTATTACAGGAAGATGTGAAATCAAGAATTCCAGGAGACCACAATTCAGAGTCAATTTCTTTAGAAATTCGACCTAGTATATATATTGTCTTTTCAGAGCTACCCACGTTCTAGCCATCTATAAGCTGAGCAGTCAAAACCTGAGGATGGTAAAGAAAGTATATAACATAAGTAATGACTAGCACAAATGCAACCCCTTCTACCATGTCTTCAAGCCTTCTCAATAGTTTAGAGGCTCCAGCTGTAAATCGCTTGTCTGCTACATTTTCTACTCCCTTTAGATTTGGACATCCTGCATCAGTATGTCTGTATCAACTGGTCAATTAGAAATACCTTTTAAGAGAGGGGTGTTATTTGATTCCACCGTGTCAGCTAGCTATGTGGAATCCGACCGGGGTCCTTATATTCACTCGGTACAATTTTGGGCCCACCCAGGAGCCCAAGAGTCCTATGTCCCATATTTGAGTGATGGTAAGAGAAAATTATCTCAGTAACCATCATGGCAGCTAAAAGATGTCTTGATACCTATAGAAAGCCTCCACAGACGTGGCCATTGTTTGATTCTCCCCTCATACGGCGCACCAGAATATGAGGCCTTTCGTTATTTGGCAAGGGATATCTTCCTGCGAAGGCATTTCTGTTGGATACACCTACGTAATTTGCTATGTTTGCATTGGAAGGACATCGATAGTAGTAGTGTATTCTTCCCTGGCCCTTGCCACTAGCTGGATTGTAAACCCCAGCCCACTGTATAACTGAGTGTAGTTTCATATTTTGCTCTGGTACAGATACAAATTTTGCTACAATTTTCTCGAAGCTGATTTAATCATGAAAGCTAAGAAAGGTAAGATTGAGGTATGTGAGTCGAACCGATTTCGAGAAGGGCTGTACATAATCGCACGAAATAAATTCGCTCTATGCAAACTATCACATACGCGAGAGTATATCCTTAGTTAACTAGCTACTGGATTACTAATACATTCTTTAGAACCATTATTGGTTTGGCTCCTATGCCAAGACCATCTTAAAATGGAATGGAGAGGGGCAAGGTGATTTCCGCAGCTCATTGTATATTAACATTCTTGGTGTTCTTATGTTAAAAAAAAACGAATATATATTATATATATGACAAAGAAGATTGGAAAAAGGAAATCGGTAACTATATATCAGAGATGTCAAACCACTGCACACTATCAATATTTGACCACGCCCTAAGTGATTGACAAACGCTCTTATGCAACACGAATCGCCGCTGAGTTGATTATATGGAGCTGGACATCATTTGCCATTATCTTGTAGCATTCCGAGATGGGATAATAAAATACCCATTCTTGTCGTCTCCATCCAAGTTTTACTGCTGATAGATCTGTATCGTTGGCTAATTGATAGATATAGTGTAGTTGTTCCTCTTCAGTAAGTAGCCCTTCAATCTCGCTGCATTCTTCACATAATGTATATATCCTGATTCGATGTTTAGCCGGTAGAAAGAGGCGCAGAGTATAGATGATCGCTACTTCAAGTGCTGCACCAGGGCCATGGAACCAAATATCTGATTTCCATTTGCGATAACCGCTGGATTTGCAGCAGAGACAGCTCCACGAGACGTTCCCGATCATAGTAACTAATGAACTAGCAGTATTATATGTTTGGTACTGAGAGATTTGCGAAGATATTGTTTTAGTCGCCGCTGTTCCTGATAAAAAAAAAGAAGACAAACATCAATTTCTCGTATCGTATATTTGTGGCGCTGTTTCTAGGTGGGAATTGTCCAAAGCAATAGTTAAAAACAGACGCCACAGACCAGGACATAAAACAGAACTAGACGCGTAATAGGCACTAGTCCAGATCAAGCCTACTAATATATGAACCCTTCTATACTCAGTCTTTTAGTTCGCATTACATAACCGTCGCCCCCTTTAATGAGGGGCTCCTTAAGACAACGGACTGAGCATTCTGTAATTGTACTGCAGAAGAGGATTCATCTCATCATAACTATTGCAACTTCAGGAAAGTTTGATGGTAGTCACGGGCATTATTATTATTGTATGCACTAATGGGTAGTGTATCCGGCGAAAAATCATACGAAATGGTCTTGTTGGACATCACTTACCTATGTTAATTAATTAGTGCACTGCAAGCTAAATATAGGTTCAGATGACTGAGACTGAACAACCCTAATGTTCAGTAGGAGTGATTGCCCACGTGGCTGACATGTTCGTATACTCATATATTGCTCATCGAAACACATTGACTGACGAATGATAGTTCAATTCTCTTTGCGGCGGAACGGTTCATGGGGCCAGTCAGGATAACATTAAGTATAGAAAAACTCTCGGAGCATCCCGTTGTGTCGTATCCTCCTCTAGTTACTGGTGATAAAAGAAAGGGTTCATAAACGTCTAATCACTTTCCTCTCGCTAAATCCCGTCCCTTTTATAAGACAGCCTCCGTCCTCTTTGGAAAAAACTACATATTTACGTTGTAAGTTCCTTCTTTGACAAGATACTCGAATCTTTGCTGGGTACTAACTCTACTTGGTCAGCATTGTTATTTTCCATTCTCTGAAGCCTATGCTTTGTCGAATCACCAGGCCTTTGGACATATGAAAAAGTCATGGAAGAAAACGTCATACTGGAGGACCAAGGAACAGTCGAACATTTTGAAGTTTTATCTGGCTGTCGCGAGGTCTCTGTTTCTCCACCGCTGACATCGGCTGAATACACAATCCACTCGAGTCTTGGAAAGCCTTACTCCCGTTCTAAATGCTCTTGCGGTGAATGCATAGCAGGATTCTTAAGTCCTCGAATGCGCGTGTTTTTGGAATGGCATGCAAACCGTTGGTGGTGCTTCCTTCGAGATAATATCGAGGAAGGGGAAGCCTGGACTCGGTTAAATGCAGAGAATTTGATATTCGCATCTCCCGAGCTGCAACAGGAGCTGGCCCAGCGTAGAGCTATGAGGGAAGGTTTTGCCGGTATCTCCGGGTTCATCGCAGCATGTTTGAGCTGCAACACAATTCCTACTGAAGAAAATGTTAAGAAGGCTATATACACAGAGGAGTTCCCACAGATATGCCTGGATTATATTTCGAGAGGTGGAACAATTCCGCCTGTTGCTTCTATAATATTCAAGGAAGCATCAAGCGAGAACAATTGGCTGGATTATGATTTATTCCAGACTGAATACGAGGAAACTATGATGCAGCTCCCTGAATGCCGAAATGATGGCGAGTTTACGTTAGTTCAGCATAGGTGTGGCTACAGTGTATATTAAACATCGCAATCTTTCTTCCGTCATTATAGTTCTACATATCTGCAGATTTTTTTCGACATCGCTTCCCACAATACGCTCTACAATGTTATCCCAAACCTAGATGCTGCTCCAACCTAAAACATAAATAATTATGCGCAATTATACGAGTTACGTAAATTGAGGGCTCAACTAATGCCGTAACCTTCATTTAATTAAGTTAACGGCTATTGTATAAGTTTTGCATGATTTTTTGATGGTTTAACGTGGCTTAGTAGCTAGGGCTTGACAATAATATTAGAGAGCATATTGCGGGAACTGATGTTAGAAATCATCTAAGAGCGTTTAACGAATGAATGGACACGGCGCCCGATCGCTTTTTATGATCCAGGTTCAATTTGATTAGAGCTTTTCCAGAAAACCGCACTGCGGGGCGATTCCATTTGGCACTGGGATAGTGTATGGATGGCACTGTTTTGTTTATCCCATTGATATTGTTGACATAACTTTATTATTAAATAAGCTGATTAGAATACTCCCTGTTACAGTGATCAACAAGAAATACTCTGTTGTATAGTACTGTATCTCCTAATAGAGAAGTTGCGGATTTAGGCCAAAGAAAGGGGTAAGGGAAAGGAAAGAGAGAAGGCTTTCGAAACGGAAGAAAAATAATAGACTAGAAAATAGTTTCATATTCGCTTCGCCAACAAAGTTGAAAACACCTCCGCTGAGCTTTATACGTACCCGGTATACTGAAAAAATGGGAGCTATGTTGAACGTCAACAAGACCTGCACAAAACGTCGATACAATATTCCATCAACACGGGCCACGAGAGAATTGCACTTGATAACGAATCAAAACACTATCATGTGAAGTTATTCTCTTAGATGATCTTACTTCTACTCATAATGGTAGTTCTTTTAGCCGACGCAAATGCGTAAGGGTAGTATGATAAATTCCGGTATTTAAAATGGAGGAAGGGGTACCTATCCGCAGACAAAATTCTGACGTCTGCAGCATATACGTAGGGTACGTAAAGTCATATGCGCATCCTAGAGCCCCATGCTCAACCGCAATGCTAGCGCGCTTTTACGGACAACGCGAGCCGACACCGCCACTTCATCTTTCATATTTTACGCTTAACAGCCAGCATGTTAGAGCGTCTACCGCCGTCAGTCTTAAAGATGATAATTGCCATGGTAACTAACTCACCACAGTCCTGCTATTGTACTTAGTTGACTTGCATTATAGCTCGATCAGCAGGAAATAAGGGCACTTTCGGCTGTTTCTCGAGGATTATATGATATAACAGCGCCAGTCTTGTTCGAATGCTTGCATATCCCAATAGCACCAGAAAATGCTCTCTTACATATTAAGAACTTTTTCCAGTGTCATTCTCGATTGGGCCGGGCACGCTCCCTGAGCTTGGTAAGGGATCTTCGATTTATAGTTGATGTACCTGAAAGGATCGGTCACAGAATCGCAAGCACTCCAATCCGAGCAGATGGATGCTTTCCCAAGAGTTTTGGCCTCGCAGCCAGACTCATTTTAGAACAACTAGCGCCTAGAAAGTTAACTGCCTTCATGTACGTCACATCTCCTTTATAAATCTCCATTCGAAGTTCTTACTTTACAGGTGGGAGTTCCCTTGGCTTCCAGGGGAAATATTGGGGTACAACGGATACCTTCCAGAGCTGCAACCGCAACTCACCTCGATTACACTTTCCACTCTCTCACCAAACCACAGAGAGTCTAGAAGCCTTAGTCTTCCATGTGAGCATAATGTTGACGGGCTTCTAAGGCTACGGTATCTAAAGTCTCTGTGCTGGGATGGAATCCATAGCGAAAGACAGATCAGGATACTTCGAAGATGTCTGCGACAAAATTCAAAGCTTGAGGCCTTACACTTGAGTTTCTCCAAGGGCGTACGGGTTGATATTTTGCAAATAATCTCCGCAAGGGATATGATGTTGTTCCAAAACCTATGTGCATTGTCACTCAAGAATGTCTTCTTCTCTTGGTCACTCTGTATTCCTCCATTGCTTGCCTTGCCTTGCCTAGACACACTAGTTCTACTAGGTTGCGCGGACATCTCTTCCCTTTCCGGTTACCTATTGAAACGCAGCCAAGCAACACAATTCAGGATTGGTATGCGCTAGTCAGTGTGGCACATGATTTACATGCGAGCTTTAATGGACGCAAAAGTGACTCTCCAACAAATCGTCTTCGCTGCCAGCTTAATGGAGTTACCATGCCACTCGGCTACATGTGATACAGGGACCCTCTGGTTATGTAAAAGAAGCAAATATATCTCGATGAGAGATATTTATAGGGAAGGACTTATGATATTCATGCAGTTCTGAACCTATCGAAACTGATAGCCTGCATGGCGCTCACTCCAACCATCACTAATTTTAACGCATATAATCAATACTGGCAATCAAAATTTCCAGACGTCGAAATCTCAAATTATATTGCATGCCCTATTGTCTCTCTTAAGCTACGCATTCATGTACTAGTGAGGCTCCTCGAAATTTTGGTGGCATTGTTTTGCGAGACAATCCTTTAAAAGAATTTCAAATATATCAGAATTCTTTATAGCAATGCCCCTCACATTAATCATCTCTGAGATATACATCTGCTTTGTTTCATTGCTTACACGCCACCCACGTTTGAACAAGGACGTCTTTGGGTTATGGCAGGATTTCCAGCTGTAACAGTTTCCGTCAGATACATAGGTGCTAATATTGGTGTATTATAATTCTGTACTGATCCATCGTTAATCCTCATATCCAGGTGTAGTTCTTCAGGCTGCTTGCGAAAAACCAAGGCACCACTGACTCTTACGCAGATGGCAGAGACTGAGATTGGCCTTATCCGCGAGATTGGATGGCATCGGGCAAGGAACTCTTTGTATAGAAGATGCTACACCTTACTCAAGCAACTTCAGGATCTCGTAGAGCAGGCTGTTGACGACCTCTTAAGGCAAAAGGGAGCGAATCCTGGAAGGGATGTTGCAGTGAGGCTTCAACAAAAGCTGGAGGAATTGGCTCACTGTGAGCAAGAGGCGCTTGAGGCTTGGAATAATCTTTTAAGAGACGCATAGAGCTTATATTGCACCACGATAACGTTGAGATAGTGTGGACCTGCTTCTACTATACTTATAGGGGATTCTGGTACTGTGTAATATATATTTTCCCTTATTTTAAGTTTCCGATATCAGCTGGCGTCGTCTTAATTAAAACCATATTGGCAGATCTATGGTGGTTTAGAAATGTGAGCGTACACTTCAGTTCAAAACTGGCGCCCAAGTCTTCCAGCTGTAGTTCAATCTTTTCCGCTCACTTAGCTTCATCATTACGACGCTCTACAACCTGATACACAGGCCAGCCATTTAGCACTACTTTCCACTTAATGAAATAATAAATACGTATTAACAACTAGAGGAATTAACTGGAGTCAGTCCATTTATATATAATCAGATCAACATTCAGATATCTAGCAAAAAGAGAGATGCTATAGATAAGGTCCCAAAGTTACTAGCGGTATAAATGTATTCAACAGTTGTAGCCTATAGATCGGGGGCCAAGACTAGAAAGCACTATCTTAATATAGGAAGAGCTGTATATGTAGTATATGGCAATATAGTACCTTTTGGTATACATGGTGAAGGGAACGAGAGATTCCTGCGAGAAGTAGAACATATCGCCAGTGGTACAGAGGATGATGATGATGATGATGATGATGATGATTTCATTTACCCTGTCCCCTCGCGAACGATATGCAGGATACAACAACTATATATATCCGAGTATGTACATGTAGAGTCTTCCACTTCCTGAAAACGAACTTAGAGCCTCGTCACGGCCTGTCGTGGCCTAATTGCCGCTCCTGTTATTAGGCTGCCCTCGTGGCGCGCGACTGCGAAACCGTTGTGACGCCTCGGCGAAGTCCAGCACGGCGTTGACCGTTTTGGCCCGCGAGATGCTGTCTGGATTACCTTTCTTACCTTGGTTTGAGCCTCCCAGCAGACTCGATATGCTATTGAACGCGTCCCCGACTTCTCTCCTTAATTTTTTCCGCAGCCCTTTTAGTCTCGGGCAGTCTATCACCACATGGACGACCGTCTCCCGCGCACCGCACGCGCACTGGTCGTCATCG